ATGCCCTTATTCACTACATTTCTTTTCCATTGCTTGGTGCTAAGCGGTCAAATGCCTGGCAAAATTTTTATTAAACCAATGATAAGGAGGAAGTGGAATGTCATGCTTGTTCAAAGGTAATGATAAAGCACCTCATATTTGTGCATCAGTAAAAAAAAGCAGTACCTTTGACGATAGCTAGCTTGTTTCACTCCAACAAAGTAAATAAACATTACTCGTTCGGAAACCCTACCTGCTTTAACTGCTGTGGTTTTCAAAATACAAATTGAGCTCGTTATGCAAGACTTTCATACTTCACACAATATGTTGGACCTATTAGCGTCAGGTTTGATAGATTTGTATTATATATGAGCCTAATAATTAGTGTTATATGATAGATGCATCCCCAAACATTGCAACCATTGACCTAAAAACCAACCCAAAGGTCACTGCAGTTTGTGTACCCAATCACGGAGAAAAGAGAAACAGAATTCACAGAGATGGATTAGTTGAGGGGCATTTCTTTCTCTTGCATTTAAAAACTTGGAATCTTGGAAACCAGGAATTTTTATTTGATATGGCAGAAACAGGTGGAGTTAATTTGGTGGGTCTGTTTGGATATAGATTACCAGTGTTTCATGCTGCCTGTGTTACTTGTTTTAAAGTGTTTTGGGTCGGGTAGGGCCGTGTTACTTTCTTCCCTGGATATTTATGTTATGTTTAGCATAATTGTTTTGATCGTTATTCATGGCCTCATTTTATGGAGAAATCTGGGCCTTTTTTTCTCGCATTTGGAGTCTAGTTATTCAGCACATGCTCTTCCAGAATCTCTTGCGGCTTAGGGATATTTTTAGAATGGCTGGATTGGACATCCACCCCGAAAAAAGGGTTGCGGTGCTTTTTATTCCATAAGCCGTCTCCTCATATTAGGCGAGGTTCTATAAACAGGTGTAGCAGAGCTGGCCCATTGGGATGCGTTTCTCTTGGTTGGGCAACCTTTTCATAAAAGAGGTTGTTGCTGTAATGAGTGTGTAGTCTTTCTATAACACAAATCTTCCTAGTCAACAGTTTTTATTTACCTATTGTTTTATTATACGTCTCTGGGGGTATCTTGTAACAGAACATTCACTTCCCAGTCTTTCCCAGCTGTACCCATGCTATGTGTTATCGTTGCTCGTATGACTGCTTTCCTCAACGTCTTTTTCCTTGTCCTAATTTGTCAACAGAGCAGAGGGAATGACACAGTGTAATTGATATATGCTGATCGTCACAGATCAGTTCAGCCGCTACAGAATCACCTCTGTGAAGTTCAATCAAATTGAATAAAAATGATTATCGTACGTAACTACGGTCACTATCTGATGGTCTCTCATGTGGTCCCTGGCCATTTATATCCCTAAAATGTTGTCTTGTGGTTGGTTTCTGCTGAGCTAGATGACAGAGACATGTCACCTGCTGTATTAGATGGTAGGACACAGACACCATCTCTCCAAGGACATACTTTTGACAGTTGGGCTTTATAAAACGTGTGAAGGATGCTGATTAGTTGAAACCAGATTCCTGTGGCCAGCTGTCGGTTCTGTAACGTAATGCCCTTCATTCATCCTATAACCATTATTTTAAAGATGTAAATATGCTGTTTTTGTGATGCAATCCTGGTGCCGGTCTTAGTAAAATGCCGCAGTTGGGTTTCCTGGGTAAAGTTAAGCTAAACGCAGTGTGCTGGGAAATGGCCCAAATGATCTGGGCTACGGTACCTCCAGAATCACTAGTGCCGTCACACTCCTCTTTTTGTCAGTGTGATCCAAACAGGGGATGTTGTGGATTGTCTGTGCTGAGAAAAGAGCAGCGAAAGCAAAGAGCCTCTGGGTATCTTAGTGTCGCCTTTAATTAATTAAGCATTAAAGGGCACATTTTTACATCGCTGTTTTCCCTGCTGTTCTCTCTCTCTCCCTCTCTCCGTCTCTGTTGTTGTGTTTGAGCAGCATGTCATTGGCTAGACAGCAGTGACCTTTAACCTGTGATTGTCATCCATACATTCTGCTGCTTGTTTTTTTCCACTTTTACCCACGCACGCTCGGCCGCACATCCGAGGACACACTGAGCCATGTGCAGATTCTTTGGATCGGTTCTGAATTCTGCCGTATTGGGTTGAGTGCCGTTAAAGGGGATATTGATTTCCGGGGGTTTGTGATGTTATTCAGACGGGGAGTGCAGCTGGAGTGATTGGTGATCTGAGTAGGGTGTCAATCAGGGTTCTGTATGCTGGATGGGATTAATGGCTCCTCATCAGGCCTCTTCATCCCGCTAAGTGATACGGCTAAACGTGCCTGCGCGGTCGTGCCGGTTGTGCCGGCGCGGTCGGGGTGCTTTTGGGAAGGGGACTCTCTCTGCAGGCACTCCCCTATGATTTCCAAAACTGAAGATCGATGACGCGGTCCACAGCTGCAGCCTGCGCTATTCATTTTGCTGAACGATGCGCTCCTGTCATTGGAAGTCATGGTTCTTCCTGTTCAGATGTGCCTTCCCTTTGTCTTCAGTTGCAAGAGCGTGAATTGCTTTGATTTTGATCACGATCAGTGGAACACAGGTTGCGCTTTAAGTATGGACAGCGGTTTTGGAGGCTTTGCGGGTGCCACTAGGCCAAGGTCAGTGGCTTGTCTTTAAGCCATTGTCGTTTCAAGCTCAGGAAGGTGAAAACAGTGTTCAATTTCAGCTTTTCTGGCTGTTTGGCATTTTGTCTGCATTCTAGCTGCAGCCTGTAGAGCTGAATAATGCATGCCTCTCCGATAGTGGTCTTATCACCAGTCTACACCTCTCCCATCTCTGTCACTGCTCCGTACTCTTACCATCTCACACAGACTCCGTGTGTCTCACTCTCTCTCAGTTGGGAAGTGTGAGAACTGGGTTTGACTGAGTCACCTGCCGTGCCTGCCTCGGCCACCTGTGGTGACAACTCAAAATGTCAATCTCCACAGGGTGTCACGAAGACCTCCCACTTTCTCCCTTCTCCCCCACATGTGTGCTGTCCAGAGGAGGTGTATTTTAGAGATGGAGGAGAGGAGTAGCACCATCTCACACACAGGGATTGGCCTGAAGGCCTCGGCACAGGTGGATAGCACTGCCTGTTTATGGCTGTGTTGGTTGAAACATTACCTCAGATTACCTCTGTCGGTGTTAGTTAGGTTATCCTATGAATCCTGACTGTGTGTCAGTGTCTATACAGTAGGTTTTCATTTCATGTATGGTACATAACACTGTGGTCCGGTGAGTGCCGGCACTTATTAAATCATGCAGCTGTTAATGTGATGGTAGTGTTTTGACAGGTTTTTACTCGCAGGTTACACAGTGTAACAAGTACCCCTCGTATGAACGATTTTATCCAATAATGAATTCCCACATAGTTGTGTTTTTCTTTCTTAACTCGGGTTTTCTTCTGATGGTAAATGCATCTTTCTGTTCTGTGGTCCCCAGGGCATTTATATTAACACTTTTGAAGTTGAACCTGTCGATGTCAAATGGGTGATGTTGTATAGATCTGTCTTATGTTCTGCGCAACAATTTAGTCTTTTTTTAGTTTTTCCATTAAACGGTATTTTATGCTTCTGTCTATTCAAAGTGCCTATAACCTCAATACGATAGATCCTCCATACTTAGGTGTTGAGACAATGTATTGCAATATTCAAGATTATTATAAATCTGCATGAGTTACGATTAATGAGCCACATTTAATTGAGAATCAATGTACCCAACATTGATCCCAACATGTCTTCTTCAAAGGGGTCAAGAGAAACATGTGAGAAATATTCTTTATTAAAAGGATAAATACTCGGCTAATGTTTTATTACCTACCTAAAAGATTGAAAAGCAGTGGTAAAAAAAACGTTGGCCCGATGTGAGGTGTAAAGGATATTTTTCTATAATTGTCATCGTGATCTTCTGCAGCTATGATTAGCCGTGCTATGTCCTGCTGTCTCCCTCAGACGACAAGTCCTTCTCATGTAGCTCACCTTTCACACTCATTCCCTCTGCAGACCAGAGCCTGTTCACATGCAGTGGGTCCTGGAATCACTCTTCCTGCCACACATCATGACCATGACATGCTTGTTGGAGAAGTTGGTAGCTCAGTGGTAGAGTGCACGTTGGTGTAGCTCTGTGGTAGAGTGCACGTTGGTGTAGCTCTGTGGTAGAGTGCATGTTGGTGTAGCTCTGTGGTAGAGTGCACGTTGGTGTAGCTCTGTGGTAGAGTGCACGTTGGTGTAGCTCTGTGGTAGAGTGCACGTTAGAGTGCACGTTGGTGTAGCTCTGTGGTAGAGTGCACGTTGGTGTAGCTCTGTGGTAGAGTGCACGTTGGTGTAGCTCTGTGGTAGAGTGCACGTTGGTGTAGCTCTGTGGTAGAGTGCACGTTGGTGTAGCTCTGTGGTAGAGTGCACGTTGGTGTAGCTCTGTGGTAGAGTGCACGTTGGTGTAGCTCTGTGGTAGAGTGCACGTTGGTGTAGCTCTGTGGTAGAGTGCACGTTGGTGTAGCTCTGTGGTAGAGTGCACGTTGGTGTAGCTCTGTGGTAGAGTGCACGTTGGTGTAGCTCTGTGGTAGAGTGCACGTTGGTGTAGCTCTGTGGTAGAGTGCACGTTGGTGTAGCTCTGTGGTAGAGTGCACGTTGGTGTAGCTCTGTGGTAGAGTGCACGTTGGTGTAGCTCTGTGGTAGAGTGCACGTTGGTGTAGCTCTGTGGTAGAGTGCACGTTGGTGTAGCTCTGTGGTAGAGTGCACGTTGGTGTAGCTCTGTGGTAGAGTGCACGTTGGTGTAGCTCTGTGGTAGAGTGCACGTTGGTGTAGCTCTGTGGTAGAGTGCACGTTGGTGTAGCTCTGCGGTAGAGCGCACGTTGGTGTAGCTCTGCGGTAGAGCGCACGTTGGTGTAGCTCTGCGGTAGAGCGCACGTTGGTGTAGCTCTGCGGTAGAGCGCACGTTGGTGTAGCTCTGCGGTAGAGCGCACGTTGGTGTAGCTCTGCGGTAGAGCGCACGTTGGTGTAGCTCTGCGGTAGAGTGCATGCTTTGTATGCATGACGTCCTGGGTTCAATCCCCATCTTCTCCCCAGGTTGCCACTGCAAATGAGAATTTGTTGTCTATCGGCTTACCTGGTTAAATGAGGGTTATTAAATTAAAAAAAATAGTCAGTCTCTGTTTGAGTTCAGTGTTTAGCATAAGATGCAAATTATTGCTCAAACTCAAAAAAAGATATGCCGCTCATTGTTTGACATTTGTTCTGTGCGCGTTTTATGAAACATTGGTGCTCATGTTACACAAATAATTGTGTATCTGAAAAGGGTTTCAGCTTGGACAGAGGCAGGGACAATTATAAACTAGTTGATCCTTGAGGATATTTGTGGTATTTTATTTTAACATCTGGATAGTTAGGAGAGGGAATGTATGTGTCCCAGGGGACATGTGTGGTCTTGGTCACAAAGCTAAATGTTTTGGTGCGTGTGTATGAGAAAGATGTAGTACACCTTATATTTTAGCTTGTATTCCCAACATCACTATAACCTGCAGAAAATAATTATTCATGTCTAGCTTGTGTCTTATGCCTTCACAGCCATGCCTCATATCTTGTTACAATGCATCGAAACTCCGCTAATTCTGCTCAGTTTATTATTATAAGTCTATTCTGGAGGATGACCGGGATGAGGAAGAGTGGGAGAGATTTTCAGCGGAAAAAGGATAGAGGAAGTTAGGATGGAGACAGTGTTTGGAGGGATTGGGGGGAAAGACGGTACAGGTTGGGGAGAAGGCGGGGTTTAGAGGGAGTGGGGGGGAAGTGGGGGAGGGAGGGAGAGCTAGTGCAGGTGGGAGAGGAGGCAGTCTTTGGAGAGAGTGGGGCTAAAGGGGGAGATCTCTTCTGAACAGCATCCAGCTGTAAACACCAAAAGGAGTGTGCAGTGATTTCATCTTCTGGAACACATGATCTTCCTCTAACAACTGGCTGCCTGCGAGGGAGGAGAGAGCCTGTTGCCAGGTTACCCCTCCACCGCTGCGAGAAGCCGAATCCGGCGTCCGCGGACGTTCACACCACAGAGCTCGGATCGCACGGAGCATCGGCGACCGGTTGGTACGCGTGTCCTCCGCCCGGGTTTCGCCCGCCCATCAATCCCTCATGTCTTTTTTGAGAACGGAACAACGGCATGATCCGTAGAGGTCGGTAGAGAGGAAGAGGGACGGAGCGCGCTCTGCGTCTGACCGTTTGGCGCTCCGGCTAGGGGGACCGTCGCGGGTGGAGGGGGGGGCGTGGAATCGCCATGCAGCTCGACACCACCACCGCCGCCGTCGCTCACCGCAAGGCCTCCAGCTTTATCCTCAATGAGCGCTCATGCGTCCTGTCTTCCAAAATGGAAATCCACCGGTACGTACCGTAGTTTATGCCCGTCTGCTGTCCCTAGATGAGGGTACTGTTTGGGGCGGGGGGGGGTATGCTTCTTACAGTAAGGGGTTCCTGCAGTCTGGAGGGCTCATCTCCATCAAAGCAACTGTTGAATTGTGTTCAAGCGAAGCAGAGCCTCAAGGCTTATGGCGTCTAGAATAATTCCTGCCTGTTCTCCTGCATAGCTCCCCAAGGTGTTGTCGACATGCATGTTTACCACTTAGTTTGGCTCGCCGAGAACATTCACCCAACCATCAAGGTGAAGTTAGGCAAAGGAGGATTGTCGTCAAGAAATATTAAAATCCGCTCTTTCCCGTGACACATCTGTCCAATGTGCAGTAGGCATGTTTAGCCTCAGTCCACCGGGTGCTGACGGACATGGTCATGTTTTTAAGTATAATGTCTGAGGCCTGAACTTTTCAGGCGTTCGACAGTGGCTTGATGCATAAGGAAGGAGTCTGGCTTCTGACATGCCCATGTTTACGATGTTCAGTAACAGCAGCACTAGCAGCCACCCTCCGTGAACCCTCAGTGTGATAAACCCAGTGGTGCCACGTCCCCGTGCCACTCCACAGTGCCAGATCTGTTACCCCCGGGGGTGATGGAAGATTGATGACTGTGTTCCATATTAATACCCTCTCTGTGGATGGTTGAATGGCAGCCCTCAGTGCTTGAGGCCACAGTGCTGAGTCCTCCTGTAAAATAAGGAGGTCCCAGTTAACACTCACCTGTCAGTTTCTCCCAGTGACCCCATAAACTTGTGTTTGACGGGCTCACAAACGTCCAGCTGCTACCGCCGCCACTGTCCAGCTGCTACCGCCGCTAGCTGAGCGCAAGCAAAGCTTTGGCCTCCTCGGTGTTGTTGCGGAAATCTAACTCGGTTTTACTGTCGTCCATTTCCTGTATGACAATGTTTTTTACTTGTTCTAGTGAGCAAAACCAGTTTAGCTTTTGGTCTGTTACTGTAAAATGGTTTCAATGTGGGGTTTTGGGTGGACAATGCTTCATTACAGTGTTCTTGTTCCATTTCGCTATATGACTCGTTACATGATTGACATTCCATCGTATGCCCTTTTCGTAGTGTTAAGGCTTACGTCCAAACACTTTCCTAAATGCAAGTGAACGCCTCTGGTTTTCAAGCCACATTGCAATTAAATTGTGCTCAGTTGTTTGTGACGGCTACGACATGATCTCTAGTGTTTACGTCCTGCTGTCAGAAGTATGGAGGTATTAGCACTTATTAGTGCTCAGACAGTTTCCTCGCAACTGTCTCAAGTAATTTCCTGTACGTCTGCCAATGCCTGAAGCTTTTCATGCCTCATAAATTTAGCCCAAATACCCGTATTTTGGTATTGGCCAGCCAGCTAACAGAGAGAGAGAGCTCATCACATCGGTAGCTCACACAAGTCTATTTTTACACTTAAGATACCTCACATTGTCTTGGCTAGCAAACAGCATGAACCAACAGTCTGCACCTCTTGCCAATAAATGTACCAAAACGAAGCTATAATAAATCAGATTATATTTAGACGTACCTATTGAAATGATTAAGGCGTTATGACAGTTTAGAGTGTGTGTATATATAGCGATGTTTAAGATTGACAGGGCAACGTTGATGCGTTAATCTGTCACCCTTCTGACTATCTGTCTGTCGCTCTGAATCGCTGCGTCTCTTTTTATAATTCTGTATCAGCCAACCTGCAGGTGTTATGCATGAGTAATGGGGGCGAGTGGTTTGTATTTTTAAGCTCTCAGTCTGCTTCCTGTGCGCTACACCGGGTTGTGATGCTGATGCGGAGGTGTACCGTCCCTCTGTGGCTGTTTTAAGTGAAAGTGAGCTTTATTTATTCGTATCCTCATGAGCTGCGACTGCGCTTCCTCTGTTTCGGCCGATAACCGATGTGCTGATAGACTGGGGTGGGAGTTTCGTGGTGTCCGCGGGGACCAGGGAAATAGTGGAGGAGATCGGCTCGCCGAATGATAACGGTCTAGCCTGTGGCCATGTTCACACCTCACACAAGAACACGGATCTTCAGATCTGTCTAGTTGGAGTTCTCTCTCCACTGATGGCCTTCAGACATGGTGTCGCTCTTTCAGGCAAGCGTGTTGATTTCATTTCGTCCTCTGTTCTCGTCTCCTTAAAACTCACTAGATGAGGAGGCCAGAGGCCCTCCAGTGGGTTTTACAAATGAACAGCAAAGGACTGGAGCAGAATGCAGTTAAGATCTTCTTTGTGTGTGTTTGGAATATGTTTGGAGTATGTTTGGAGTATAGAAAAGGGAATGCTTTAGTCTTTGTCAGTCGGCTGCCTCCCTCGATTCCGTTCCCTCATTTCTCTCTTCTCCCTCCCTCCATTTGTCTCTTCCTCCCAACGTTGTGAAAGCAGCCAGGGATACACATAAAAACCCGCCCACGTACGCTGTGTTGCTAAGGTGATGACTGTACTTTCAGCCTATTAAAAGACTGAAGGAAAGCTGGGAAACACCAATGTAGAATTGTTACTCCAGTGCTGGGCGGGTGCCGCTACACATGTTTACAATGAGCCAATGGACGACGAGGAAGTGACATTTATTATCGCGCACAGTCCCTCGGCCTGTTCAATCAGTCATCTGTCCTGCTGGTTTTACACGGCGTGATGGACAGGTGTGCACTGAAGGCTCTGAGGGGGGAGATTATGGAAATGAAACGGAATCCATTTTCCGCTTCCTCTTTCCGCCTCTGCGTGTTTATTTTTACACTGCGACCTGGGCAACCATAAGCACCAGTGATCGCACGCACACGCCCTTGTCTTTTAGGGACCTGTCATCCCAGCTAGCAAAAGTTGGTTCTCAGAACGTTTGTTGAAGTTTTTTTTTTGGTTGTGGAAACGCTCCCTGAACATTGCACCTATGTTCCAAAAAGGTTAGTATGGATGGTTTTCTACATGTTCTTAGAACGTTTTTTGGGGGTTGTATAAACGTTCTGGGAACATTCCTGGCATGTTCCCTGAAGGTTTCATAATTTTGAACGTTCTGGGAACCTTTTAAGAATGTTCATATGGACGTTCCAAGAACGTTCTAAACTATGATACCTTCAGGGAGCATGCCTAGAACTAACCGTTATTAACCATATTATACCATATTAACCTTTAGGGAACATGTGCTACGTTTGGTTGGAATGTTTTTGAAACGTTCTTTGAATGTCTGCAAAGTTCTTGCAATGAATGGTATTGTAATTAGGGTATAAGAACACATCAAATGTATATTTTGAAATATTTTATTCACTAATGTAATATAACTAGACACGTTCAATTATACAAGTTCAATTATCTGAGTAAAATTTCTAGTACATTACCTCAGACAGCTACGCGTGATTCACTTTGGTACCTCGGACAGCTGCGCTTGAGTTACTGCGCGCGCGCGCACTTGTTGTTTGGGTTTTCGCGCGTCACTGTCCATGCTCGCGACTTGGGACAATGTTACCGGAACGTTCTGTGCTATGTGGGATGGTTGTCAGCACGACTGGCAGCCATTTAAAAGCTAAGTGTGAGTGCAGTCGAAACATTTCGTGATGGTATTTCCATTTTCAAGATCGAAATAGCGATTCAGCTTGTTTGGGTGGGATGGTACTTGAACTTTTTCAAGAAGGTCATGTAATTATAATATATCACTGACTTTCCAGGTGAATGTCTGCGGACT